AGATTTGAAATATGTAGCTAACTACTCATATGATGAATACATTTTTATTCAGTAACTTTACTCTTTTAAGGAGAAGAAGAAATCATGCGGAACCATTCAACTAGGAATGAAACTCAGGGCTTTCAGTAGGCAAAAAAACAGGTGAATCCATTGACTCGTGATCCATCAGAAAGAAATCTAAGCTCACTTCACAATCTGAAGGTTCTAGGTTCGGTATCTGATGTGGTTATGTGCCTGTGGATTAGACAGCTGTCATGGTTTTCAATTTATTCTCCAACTGATGTCAAATTCATGATTTAACTTGAATTCAATCAAATCCATAAAAATCAACAAGTGAAAATGTTCTCAGTAAAAAAAAATTGCAAATTTAGACAGCTGACAATAGTTATTATTATTATTATTAGGGAGTAGCAGAGGCAATTTCTTATGTGAACCAGAAAATGATTGGGAGAAACACAGGGAGACAAGTAATCATTGTTGGAGGAAGTGGCTTCATTTTCCAGTGACAATGATATATGTATACTATCCTCTGACTTATTTGCACACAGGTTTAAACATGTTCATTTTCTGCACTTTCTTCTGCACTTTGTTCATAATTATAATAAGAGGGCAAAAAAAATAAGTGGCGTCAATAAATTTATAATTTCTCTCCCTACATTTACTGTGATTGTTGCATTGTGTGTGTAGGGGGAGGGGCAGGGTAGGATTACAGGATCTGTTTGAATATATCATGGAATAATGTCGCTTTCAATAGCTTATTCGTGGCTAGCAGTAGATCTATAAGCGTGCGTTTCGCCCTACTCTAGACTCGTCAACTGGATATACTTCCTTTCCACTGGGTGGTGGTGTTCCCACAGGGGCTCGAGTTCACTACACATCATTTCGGATGACTAAGTGTTATCAGCTAGATCACTGAAACACGAGAATCACCTCTTGTTTGCTCATATTCCAAATGTGAAGTTGACCACTGAGCTCATATATGTATATATTTTATTATAGCTTGATTCCATATTGTATTTTTGGTACAAGTATGGGATTTTCAGCATATGATATTGGTAGCCCAAATTTTGCATGCCGACCAGTAATATCAGGTGTGCGTTGACAGAGGATCGAACTCCGGACCACGTGCATGATCGGTGAGAGTTCTAACTGCTGTGCCACCGATGCACATAAAGCAGGCGATATTCATAAACATAAGTAAATAAATCCATAGGACAACAAAATTCCATCCCAATTGGTGGAATGGTTAATGAGCTTACTTCGTAACCTGAACGTCCAGGCTTCAACTCCCTAACAGTCACTGGAATGTACTGCTGAAGAGGCCCATAACAATCGATTAATTTTGATATTCACTGCGACAGTCAGTGATCCATAGGGCAGAATGCTTGCCAACTACACACGTGACCTAGACTTAAATTCCATCCTGATGTACTCAAAAATATCTATCTTAGTTTAATATTATTAGTATTATGTTTTTATTTCCTCAAGTTCCTCAAGTGGAACAACAGACTTCGACAGCGCATCTTCATTTCACCCTCTATTCTGTAGTGCTTTTTAGTTGGCTGCACTATTCCCTTCTCTGCATACAATCTCCTTCATGTCACCCTTGAATTGATACCTAACTCATTTTCTTCCATTAGGGATCTACTTCAAGGGCTTGATGTGATGTGTGATGTCAGTGGTCTAAAGTCTTCAGTGTGTATCCAATGTTAGTTTAGTAAGCAACAACCATTCAGCAGAATAGGGGAGGTTATGTTAGCTTGAGGCTAACAACACCCATCACTATTGAAAATTCTGAAGTCAGGCTACAAGACCTAGGCACCATTCGCGACTCAAGGGAATGGGAGAAGAGGAAATTTTTGTATCTAACTTCCTTAATTCGATAAGATATTCATCTCCATAGATCGATTAAATGAAAAAATGCATTTTCAAGTATTGATTTGTAGGGATTTGATTAACTGCTTACAGGATTTCATCATGAGGAGCTGACATCGGTTAAAAAAACCACCACTGGAGCATTGGACAACTGTTTCGTCAGTCTAGTATGAGATTCCGCTTCAGCAGTACGCACACACACTAGTGGAGTTCGAACCCGATCCCTTCTGGTTACAAGGCTAGCGAGCTAGCACGTAAACCATTAAGCCACTGGGACTCGATCCTATGGCCAGCCCTTGAATTCCAACTTCTGTCAATTCACAACATAGCGCGACCACTAGTCATTGTCATCGGTGGCGAGCTTCTGCCCTCAACATGCTCGACATGCTGTACCCTATTGGTCATAACTTCCCAAGAGAACCCCTGGTAACTAATTACCTGAAGAGTTCCCAAAAAGGCTGATGAAATAGATGGCTGTCTAGTACTTCAGTGGTGGTTTTCCAATGGTTCTTTAACCAATGCCGGCTCAACATGAACTCCTGTAACGGATAAATACATGCAATAATGGCTTGCCTCAATAAAATAAAGTTATATTTTCATACGAAATCGATACTGGACACGACTTTTGTTCGTTAGAACATTGAAAATATTCTTTCCATAATCAGTTAGTAACTGGTAATGAAGGCTTGACTAATGTCAAGGTTGAGTACTTCAGAACCAATCAGAAAACGGGAATACATGTCCTTAAAAACAGTCATGTCTTCAGAAGACAACTATTTTATAGAAACTGTACTAAGGATTTTATGTATACGCAGGAACCTAAATCTGGGCACCATATATTACTGATTCACTGATTTAAGTAGTTGCTAGAATCCATTAACACACTAGTCAACTGTTCCTCAGCCGTATATACTCTATTCAATTCGGTTCACGTTGGCGAATTAGTTGAAACTATCAGAATTCTCGAAAACTGATAAACTTGTCACCAAAGAAATGAAATTATTATTATTTTATCATTTAATTCCTAGAAGAACATAGGGCTTCAGCTGCGCGTCTCCATTACCTTCGGTTTTCTGCCAACGTTTTCACCCCGCTTCAAGTATGCCCACATGCTTTCACCTCCTCTTCACATGACCTCCTCCAAGTCATTCCACCCTCAGACTGACGACCGACTCGCCGCTTCCCATACCGTCGGGTTCCACTCGAGCAATGGCTTGTCTAGTGATGTCACTTGATGGTTTGTTGGCTCAGAGTATGGCCAACCAATCCATCTCCATTTCTTCCTGCCTATTTGTTTCACAATCAGTTCCTGCTGTGTTGGTTCGGTTATTGCCAGAGATCACTGTTTCTGATGTTTTCTGGCTGGCCATCTGATCTTGAGTGGTATTGAGCGAAGACAACTGTAATATGATGAAGGTCCGAAGTTTGTTTGAGGTGCTCTTTATGACGTGCAGTGCAAGTCGCTGATCCATATACTAGCACTGACTGACTTCACATTGGAGTTGAAAATCCGGATGTTATTTTTGATGCTGAGTACTGTTGACCTCCATACAGACTTAGGAGTAATGAAAGCTTGTCTTGCTTTCCCGATGCTCGCTGCTTTGATATCCTCATCAGTTCCGTCGGCCTGTAGTTGAAACGATACTTCCCAGGTGGGTGGGTAGGTAAAGGAGGTTGTTTCTTTCCAGTATTTGCATCCCTTCGATCTGACTGCCAAACACTATTGGTTGACATCACCACTAGAGTACTGGACAGTTGCTTACTTCATGCTCATTTGGGACTCTTCAGTAGTGTCCACACATCGCCAGGGTTTGAACCCATGACCTTCTGGTTACAAGGCAAGCTAGCTCATAGACCATCAAGCCACTGGGACCCAAACGATCCAATCAATGGCCAGCCAATGAATTCTAACTCCTGACAATTCAATGAATAACTGTCCAGTTGTTCCGATCCCTCTATCTACCTGATGTCAGCTCGTAGTGATGAAATCCTCAAACCAATCAGTACCTTAAAATTTTGCAAATTGTAAATATTAATTGAAAAGTTAATTCCTATCCTACCTAGTGAGCATCAAATTTTTAATGGTGATCATTGTATTGTTTAAAACAACTGTGATAGGCGGTTTTTTAAAGTTCAATGTTCAATATCTGTATTTATGCATTCATTATATCTATCCTTACAAGTTAAGCTAATCAATAAATAATGTATAGACAATACTTTTATTAAATATTAAAGTTTGATGATTAACACACAAACACGCCAACAAACAAACAAACAAATAGAATTTGATTGACATTTGTTTAACTGACAATTTATTTTTGTGTATAGGTTGTATAGTTAAAGGATAAACAAAATTACAAAAAGCTAACATTTCATGGTACATTCCATTCTACATGAATGCATTCTCTTCTCTGCACAGTCGTCTTATTGTAGTGACACATAATACTGCATACTATATCAATTTTTATGCAGTAAAAATCAAACTATCCTCACTTATATATATATATATATATATATATATATATATATATATATATATATATATATATATATATATATATCAGTATCCGTATCACTTTCTATTTATAAATAATCTATTAATTATAAAAAGATAGATATCAATGTTCAATAGTTCAATAGTCTGTTGTTTAAAGAAAGGACATAAGGTGGTAGATATCTACCTATCTATCTATCTGTCTCATCGACTTCTGTTAATTATTTCTGTTAACTGCTTATGATGAACATGTTATGATTTGATTATGTGCTTAGCAGAAGAAACTGTTATTATTATTATTATTATTAATATTTCTCTATACATGTTTTGTGTATTTCTACTAATTAATCACTTATTTGTATATAATATCTTTCTGTCTTTTTCTATTGTACTACTTTCTGCGTGCATTGTCTACGCGCCTGCTGTTACACTGTTGCTGTTGGCTGCTGTATCTCGACTACAACTATGCGATGATATGTGTCAACATTTTCACTACACTCACTGTCTGTCCATCAACCAATTCTTTTGCTTACTTGGGTTAATCAAATACACATAAATAATAAATATTTTTAAATAAATAAACAATCAACACACTGACACACACACATATATACACATGAAAAATGATTAGATCGTATACTATTGGATATACCATGTCATGTTTGTGAAGATCATTCATCAGGAAAACATTATGGTATCTATGCTTGTGATGGGTAAGTGTGAAATTATGCTCTATTTTTATAATACAATGAAAATATTTATCCTTTTTTTTTGGTTGTATTTACTTAAACGAAACAACAACAAAAAATAGGACTGTTGTTTATCACTGAGTTTTTTTTTAATTGTTGTTGTTCTCGTTGTCTTTATCGTCTTCTGGTCAGTAGTAGTCGTTTACGTTGTTCGAACATGTTTATACTTGTGTACGTGTGTCTGTATACAACACGATTGACTATATATAAACTTTCCCGTTTTATATACACTCTGCTATACATGTCTGCCCACATGCATTCATGTATGCATGCAGACATATATACATGTATATATACATATAAATCGATAGGTAGACACGTTTGTAGACAGACAGGCTGATAACACACAGACACGCACACACGGGCACACATTCAAATGTCTACTAGACATATCAATATCAAATTAATTAGTATTTCTTTCGACTGTACACATCACTTCATCATTCATATATTGACACATCTTATAATAATCATAAATTTTTGAAAAAAATGACAACAACAGAATGAAAATGACTGGATTAAAACAAAAAGGCGTTGAACACATTGAACACTTCATTAATGAGTCAATTAATTAAACAATTAGTAAATAGATATACATGTGTGTGTATATGAGCGATAATATAATAAATTCCTTCTTAGTATGTAATTGGTGGATGGTGACTAACAGTGGAATTAAGGACAACACACACACACACACATTTCATCCTATTTGGGACTTGTTAGTGGCTGAATGTGTACCTGCATTCCCCAGTGAGTGATGATTTTCCCATCGAAACTTGAACTCGGTACCCATAGTTTCAAACACTAAAGCGTTATCCACTAAGCCACTTGGGCCACAAGAGAGCCACTACCTCTTGTGCAATGGGTCATATTAATTATTGAATTGAATTTTAGATTTTCCCGTCGATTGGTAGGACTGAAGTGCTCGGTCTCAGGTTGACATGTCTGTTGGCTTTTTTGCAGATGCTTCGACAATGTCTGGGCATGTAATTAGAGTTTAATTGGAGGATGGTGACTAGCAATAGAATTTAGGATGCCATTTCGTCCTATTTGGGATTCGCGTCAGCTGGATGTACACTTGCCTTCCTAGTATGTTGATATTTTGTGATATCTTAAAGACTAAAACTGATTCATGGCAGGATTCGAACCAGTAGGCTTGAAACTATTATTATTAAGGTCAGAATAAAACTCAACATGATTTATAAACAAAGAAATTGTGAATGGAACAGTGTCCACAAAATTGGTGGGGGGGGGTCGGGTCTGGGGAAACACTTGTCAGTCATCATCGGGGTTTTACTATTTTTAAACAAGTGCTGGCCTACTTATGAGTAGTATGATTACTTTTCACATAACTGTCACAGTTTAATTTAGGTGCATATAGGTCCCAATGTTCACGGGCGACAATCACCGATAGGAAATGGGGAAAGTGAAGTTTTAAAAGTGGAATACCAAGACCAGGTTTTGAAGTAATAACAAATAGTTTTTGAACGCATAAACACAGGTTTAAGCCTATTTTCTCTTATAGCTACAGCTTTAACAAATTCATATATATGGCCTAGATCTCTTTTAGATACAAATTGATTTAAAGGTAGTATCGAAATCAAACTTGTGACTCAGTGGAGGCAGCCCATGAATTCTCTCCACATTCAGAATCAAATGGCCAGAAAGAATTAGCAACAAGAAATTCTGACTGGTTGACACCAAACCAACAGTTGAGACCCGATCGCTTAACAAATATGCAAGAGAAAATGGAGAAGAATCGGGCGTAAACTGAGAAGGCCGTCAAGTGACATTGCGCGCTAAACCAGTGTTCTACTCAAGTCCCAATGGGAAGTGACAAGTGAGCTGTCGGTGTGAGGGTGACATGGAGGAGATGATGAGCGAAGGAGATGAGTGACTGTATTCACTCGTGGAGTCAGCTGAAGAGGACGGCAGAAAATAGAAGAAAGTGGAAATGTGTTGTTGAAACCAGCCCTATGTTCCACTGGGAACCCAAGGGGATAATAATAATAATAATAATAAACCAATTGATGATTTTAGCTCAACCACCAGTCAGTATCATCAGTTGTGAGCATTTCTCCTCACTGTCAACCGGATGAACTACCTTTGTCACAACTTCTCATTGGAACTTAATACTTGAAGTTCAATGGTTTTCAATAGTTCTCTAACTGATATCGATACCTGGTCAAACTTAAAATAATTTGTTCGATAATGGGTTGATACTGACTTGCAGCAGAGTCAAATACTTGAATAATTTCATCCTATTTGCGACATTGTTTCAAGTGAATGCACCTACCTCTCGTACATTGAACATTTTTAGTCCAAAGATTTAAATAATAATTAATTGTTGTTGCTACTTATTTGTGTATTGAAACATTTAACACAGTGTTGTCATTGTTGTTTTAATTGATGTTGTCCATGTCTGTCCTATGTCTTGTTTGTTTTTTTCTTTTCTCGCTTTCATTACACTATCATCTTGGAAATTTGATTACATATTCAATTTATCCGCCGGTAATATTTTGAAAATGCCTGAAATTCATTTAAACACTGGTTAATTAACATGTACATATGTACAGTTGTGCAGGATTTTTTAAAGTAAGTTAATATATATTTATTATACACAGAATGCGATATGATGTATGCATTATTAACTAATTGAATTTCCCACTTTAAGAAGTTGAATGTTCAACGGAACACTTATTAATGAACATTGAACAATGAATCTTTCTCTCCCTATAAAAGATTCCTATTCTCAATATGTTTTTGAATTGAATCATAAAGCGAAAACTGTTTACAGTAGGGAGATTTTCTCCTTCATAATTGTAATGGGCACTTGTTTCGTCCCTATTGGGACTCATCATTTGTAAACACTTGCTTCCCTGGTAAGTGATAACGTTTCAAATGGGACTGGATTGTCTCAAGCGCTAAACCGAAAGAGACAGAGGGAGAAATTTGAGATTAATTTGTTCATAGTGAGGCATCTGTTCGATTCAAGTGCATTTCATCAAGAAGTCACACATTTGGACAAATTGAGCCATTTTCTATTTTCGGGTGTTCGTCTGCGGGATTTGATGGATTATAAGTCTGATCGTGAGCTGACATCAATCAGAGAACGATTGGAAAGCAAGCATAGAGTGATGGACATTTGGCTGTTACGTCCTCCTAGCTTGGGATTCTTCCTTAGTACTTGTTCACTGGGGGGTTCGAACCCACAGCCTTCCGGTTAAAAGTTAAACCCGTTAAATTGGAACCCAATCTAGTCGCCTGTGAATCACAAATTCTGATAATTTGTGACATTTTTAGCGCAACTGCCAGCCAGTGTCACCGTCGAGAAACTGTTCTCTTACCTGATTCATGGAGGAGGAAGGGGGGTGAGCTTCGCGGGTCACGACTTTTAACTGGAACTCTAAGTAACTTCCTGTAGAAATCCAGCTACTAGGAAACATTGGAGTAATTATCCGGTTTTGGCTTTCAGGGATTTGATTGCTCATAAGCTGATATCTGCTAAACTGTATATTTGCACATGACCTCCAAGGAGCTCATATCACACACACACTAGTCAAGCTACTTATTAGAATCCAAATGGAAAGCTATTGATCAGTTGGATGTTACTTCAAGGGTGGCATTCAGGCGATCATATGTCGAGGCAATGAAAGCTTGTGATCAGTTATCCAGTCAGTGATAAGTGATGAAAGTCTCTATACTTCACTTGGAATACAAGCGAAAAAGTGTTAACTCTACTTCAGAAATAAACCTTCAGCCTTTTATATATTCTTCTCTCATTTTCATATACATTTATACCTTTTTGTATGAATAGTAGTCATACAGTATTAATATTCTACTCACAGAGAATAAAGTTGAAGAATAGTTGAAATAGGAAGGGAAGCAACGAAAAAAAAGGAGAAAGATTGAGCGAAGAAATATTTACTTTTCAATTAGATCTTCTTCTTTGGCTCTACTCTAATATATATATAGAATTTTAATTACAATACAACAGTTTGCCAATCAAGTGGCGATAAGTTTGTTAACAATAGAGTAGAGCCAACGATGAGGATCTAATTGGAAAGTAAATATTTCTTCGCTCAATCTTTCTGTTTTCTAAATGTCTAAATGAGGATTTTTTTTCTTTATTGAAAAAAAGAGGTTAATGTAAAGAAAAGCTTTCATTCATTCAGTTCACTCAACACTCTTAGCATACATTTAAGACATTTCCTTCAATGGATTAATCCATTCCTAGTGTATGTGTGCAAGTGCGTGCTATATCATATGATGTCATCCTTAAATGATAGAATGCATTTATGTATATACAACATAGTGCTCACTTCTAAATACATTTGTAACTGTCAACTCACTTTTAAATACCGCGCATAGATGCATCGGTGGTATGAATACACAAAAAGAGTGAGATAGGGAAAGGTGTAACTGTCGATATAAGAAATATCCTGGAAACCTTGTCGTCACCATTATCATCAACATCAGCGTAGTTGACGCTGTAGTCAATGCCAAAGTGGCATGATCATCTGCATCACTGCTACAACGAGGACGACGACGACGACGACCGTCATCATCGTCACCATCATGTGACATCTTATACCACAGTGTACTAACTAACTATATATCATCATCATCTTATTTGGCTTTTAACAGCTTGACATTTACTATTACTTAGTATTTGTTGGTTTGATTGAGTGTGTGTGTGTGTGATTGAGTAATTAATGAATTAATCTATCAACTAATTAATTAATGAGTTGACTAGTTAATTAAATGAAGCCATTAAATGAGCAGTAGTCATCAAGTAACAAAAATAGCAGGTGGTCTGTATTGAGATGTACACGTATCTGTATATACTACATATATTGTGAATTTGTAAAACATCTAGTGAAACTTTACAGTCATAAATGCATACATTGACACGCACATACACCCACACATACACACACTGAGAGAAATATACATCCACTGGAAGATTATTCTCACCTGGGATGTAAAATACAATATAAATGTATTTTAATGAGATTAAAGCATCATTATGCCTAGTTTAGCTCTCATTATCATCAAATAGATGGATAAATAAAAAAGGTAAGAGAGAGAGAGAGAGAGTTCAGTGTCATTAAAGCTAGCAATTATTAGTTTTATTAAGTGTTATAGCATAAATCTAGGTTATTATTATTATTATTATTATCAGTAGTAGAGATGATATAAGTAGTACGATACGTTATTATCTCCTTTAGTTCCAAGAGGAACATAGGGATTCAGCTGCACGTCTCCACTGTGTTCGGTTCTCCGACGACGCTTTCATCTAGCTCGACGTCTACGTCTGTCCACATACCTTCATCTCCTCTTCACATCCCCTCCTTCTCCATGTTGTCACCCCCTCATACTTACGAACAACTCGCCGCTTCCCATTCGCTCGGGTTCCACTCGAGCAATGGACTGGTGTGTCATATCACTTATTTGATGGTTTGTTTTCTCTGAGTATGACCAATCCACCACTATTTCTTCCTGCATATTTTTCTCACATTCGGTTTCTGTTGGGTTGGTTCGTTGGTTCATTCATTGTCAGAGATCCATCCGTGTTACTGATGTTTTCCGATCGGCCATCTGATCTTGAGTAGTACTGAGCGAAGACAGTTAGCTGTTGATGATGAAGGTGTGTAGTTTGTTCGAAGTGGCCTTGGTGACGTGGTGTGGCGCCAAGTCTCTGATCCGCATAGTGAGCAGCACTGATTAGATTTCATATTCGAGTTGAAAATACGAATCTGAATTTTCATGCTGATTGCTGAATGCTGTTGATCTCCACACAGACTTGATGAGATTAATGAAAGCTTGCCTTGCTTTCTCGATCCTCACTGCTTTGATATTTTCATCAGTTCCGTCCGGCTGTAGTTGAAACGATGCTTCCCAGGTTGCTTCTTTCGGATTTCTCTCATTTATACCGATTGCTGTCCGTTGACCAGGAATCGTCATCACCTCCGTCTCCACCTTCTCTATATTCACCTGAAGTCCTATCTTTGATGCTTCTTCTATCGTCAATTTGTTGCCTTTCATCACTTGTATATCTTCCAGTTTGTGTGAAGTCAGACATATATCACTGGCGAAATCCAAATCCTTCAAGTGTTTTGTATAGGCCCATTTAATACCTATCTCCTCGTTGTTCGCTGTCTGTCGCATTATCCAGTCTACTGCAATCAGGAAATTAATCATTGGAGATAGTAGGCAGCCAGCTTGTCTTACTGCCATCTTCACTTTGAAGGGTTCTGTGAGATTCCCGTTGTGGATTACTGGGCATACAGTAGAAGTAATAGTAGTTGTCGTAAAATTTGTTTGTAATCGCAGTTTCAGTCGTAGTTGTATAACGCCAGAGGAATTATTTTTATTTGGCAAACAGTATCTGTTGCTTTAATAACAAGTTGATATCACTTAAAGAACCAGGAATGTTTCGTCTTCTTAGTTTGTGAGTCATCAACTGCACGCGCCTATCGGGGTTCAAATCCAGGACCTTCCAGTTATTACAAGGCAAGCTCGTAAGTCATTCAGCCATCAGGATTCTATCCAATGGCTCATAAATCCCAACTTCTGTCAAGTGACAATCTGTTACCAAAATGGCTGAATGGTCTATGAGCTTCCTTCAGAAAGACTAGAAACCCGGTAGTCGCATACCTCTGACAAGTCATTCCCAGAGCAGGAGAATGTTATAACTGCCCACTACTCTCATCTAGTTGTAAGCAGTTAGATTTTACTTTGTCTTGAACAGAATTGTGTCAGATGATATACTATCGATTATTATTATTATTATTCTATTTGAAGATGCTATCATGAAATTGATGAAGTCTAGTGTAAGTGGATTTTCTCCCCCAAAGAGTTTGACTGTTGACGGCCTAATCCACCCTCATCCCTGTTGAAGTGGTATCAATAGTTATCATAAAAGGTGATATTTAGTGAAATGTATTATTTCAGATTGGACCACGGATCGATATCAGTCAGGGAATCATTGAAAAAACCAACCAGGGAGTATTGGACAGCTGTTTCATCCAAGTTTGAGGCTCATCGACAGCACGCACGTACTGGGTTCGTAGAGCATTCGGCCACCGAAGTTCCGTTCACTGGCCAGCCCATGAATTCTAAATTCCACAAATTGATGAATTTCTCCCAACCACTAACCAATGTCATGGGTACGTACTCCTGATGAGTCTCAGAACAGGATGAAACATCTATCCAATACTTCCTGGATGTTTTTCAATAGTTCTCTAACTGATATCAATCCGTGGTCTAAAGTGAAACAAATAGAATCCCTATAAAAAAACCAATTCTTGAAAATGAATTATTATTGTCTACTAGCAGTGGTTCAATGTTGAAATACTTTTGTCAGTCACGACTCATATAACCTAGAGCACGATCCCAGGCTGACGCACTCTTAAACTTCCCCTAGTCGGCAGTGAAACCAGTTAGGAGGGAAAGTTAGTCTGGTGTGTGGTTGACAATCTCACCCCGTACAAAAAATGGACATCAATGCTAGTGTATATTTAAAGTTCAAGGTTGCAGCCATATGTTCCACATGGGATGCAAAGGATTCACTAATAAAGTAAAATGTTAATATTGTAAGAAGGTAGACTGAGTAACACTCATAAATGTCTAACTCGTCTATTGTTATTATTATTATTGCCTTTTAGAGATCAATTCGACGTAATCGTCAGTATACGTGTAAAAGTCGTGGTACTACAAAACCTGGTATGGTTATCTGTAGAGTTGATAAATCACATCGTAATCAATGCAGAGCATGTCGGCTAACTAAATGCCTTGAAGTTGGAATGAATAAAGATGGTAAGTGATCATTTCTTTTCTTTTGTAATAGTGTGATTTTTATGTAACATTTTAAGTAACACTCGACAACTACGTGTAATTTCTGCCCAACTAATAATAAACTACACCACTTATCTGCTCAAAATCCTAGTAGGCGGAGATAGTGTTGAATCCCTCCGAGCCAGTAGTTGAACGTTGTACACCTGGAACAGTAATCTACAGTTCATCCATCGACTTTCATATATATATATATATATCGAGGCGAACGTGTCGATGTCTAGCTAAGAAGCGTAATCAGTGCAGCAAAAAATTTAAGAATGGATTCATTAGGTCACAGACAACATGTATATTTCCTTACTAATACAAATGGAATATAAGCGGTTGAACTTTGAAGTTACACTAGAGAAGATGTTTTCTCTGTGTGTGTGTGTGTGTGTGTGAGGAGCGTTTTAGCCAGCCTCACATCCACTTGTGCTTCCTTTTTCCCACGCTTCCTATCGACTCGATAGTGAGCATTTCATCACAGAATAATCCAGACATTTAGACACCAAATTTATTAATGCCCATTGAGACATACAAACAAAGAATTCAGCGAAGAAAATCCTCTTTTCGATGATTTCATTTTCATAGCTGTACAATCGTATATATATATGAATTACAATCGACAATCACAATCAGTTGGTGTGTATGTGTTAAAGTTTGATAGTGAGTGGAAATACTAAAGTGCAGTAATATTGGTTTATAGGATTATGAGTCAACACTGATTAGATACGGTAGAAACCACCTTTACCCACCTACCTACCTACCTACCTATCTGGGAAGCATCGTTTCAACTACAGCCGGACGGAACTGACGAGTATATGAAAGCAGTGAGGATCGAGAAAGCAAGGCAAGCTTTCATTAATCTCATCAAGTCTGTGTGGAGATCAACAGCATTCAGCAATCAGCATGAAAATTCAGATTCGTATTTTCAACTCGAATAGGAAATCTAATCAGTGCTGCTTACTATGCGGATCAGAGACTTGGCGCCACACCACGTCACCAAGGCCACTTCGAACAAACTACACACCTTCATCATCAACAGCTAACTGTCTTCGCTCAGTACTACTCAAGATCAGATGGCCGATCGGAAAACATCAGTAACACGGATGGATCTCTGACAATGAACCAACAAACCAACCCAACAGAAACCGAATGTGCGAAAAATATGCAGGAAGAAATGGTGGTGGATTGGTCATATTCTGAGAAAACAAACCATCAAATAAGTGATATGACACCTCATGCCATTGCTAAGGGTGGGGGCGGGGGAATCCGAATGGGAAGCGGCGAATCGGTCTTGAGTATGTGGATGACAACATGAAGGAGTAGGTGATACGAATAGGAGATGAAAGAATGTGGGCAGACGTGGAGTCAGGTGATGGAAACGTTGGCGGGGAATCGAATACAATGGAGGCGTACAACTGAAGCCTTATATTCCTCTAGGAATTAAAGGAAACAATCATAATAATAACTGATCAGATCTATGAATGGGTAACTAAAAGATAGAGGTAAACCTAAAGTTCAATCGACGGCATGTGTAATATAGACGATCGCAAAATAAACTACATTCAGAAATATGAATTTGTGAATATAATATTATGGAAAAATAGAATGAGCGAAATGTTGTCAAAATAGTAGACTAGATAAAATGTTAGAATATGTTTACATAAAATAAAATGAAATAAAACAGAAAAAAAGGAACATCGAATCAAGAAGGATAACAAAGTTGTTTATGTGAATTACATAGTAAAATCAGGACCATGGGTTAGTAACGAAACAGATCGTATAAGCTGTTTTTTGTGAACTAAGTTCTGGCTTTATGTGTTATGTATTGCTAAAGCCTCTGCCATACAAAGCAAATGCGCTCGTCTCCCTTTCGGCAAACTTTGTCGAACTTTGTAGACTATATATTAAACAATGTGTCAGATGCTGGGTTGTGGTCAGTATCTACAATATATTGCAATATCAGCGAATGAATACCTCTACGCTCTCCTTTGTTCATTTAAACTGGGAGGTACTCAACACGAACATGGAGGCTGGATGTGTTTCTCGACGATAGTCCTATGTACCTAGCTCAGCAAGAGCAGGTAAACATATAAATATGCATGGAATTAGACAACAAACACACGAACACACATACACACACACACACACACACACAAGAAAACTGATTGTTATTGTCTACTTTAAATCACAAATATATATGGGATTTTCAAGTATTGGTTTTATAGGGATTTCTTTTTGATTGGATAGAGGATTTCATCATTATGACAAGCTGACATCAGTTAGAGGACTACTGGAAAACCCGGAGGGAGTACTGGGCAGCTGTTTCGTCAGCCTAGTTTGGGACTCAGATTTATCAGTATGTACTCACATTGCGGAGTTCGAACCTAGGACCTTTTGGTTACAAAGCAAGCTAGCTAATAGACTATTAAGCCACCGGGACCCAATCCAATGGCCAATCCATGAATTCTAACTCCTGCAAATTCACAACAAAGCGTGACCATTTCACAATATCTTCTTCGATGAGTATTCATCGTCACCTCTGACCTTCTGTAATCTACTGGTCACAGCCTCCCTCTAGAACCCCAGGTAACTACCTGCCTGAATATGAGCAAGTCGCTGGTGAGCATCAGATTAATTTCCAAGTATTGATTTTGTAGGGATTTTGTGTTTGATTCGATGGAGGATTTCATCATGACCCTTGACCAGTAGGATACAGCAAGTTGTAGATGAAGCAGTAAGTAACTCATCGAAGAAGACATTTCTAAGTGGTCGCGTTATGTCGTGAATTGGCAGAGGTTAGAATTTAATATGTTGGTAATTGGATCAGGTCCTATTGGCTTAATGGTATACGAGCTAGGTCCTGGGTTCGAACCCAATGGTGTGGGTACGTACTGCTGAAGCAGAGACGCAAACTAGGCTGACGTAACAGACAGCTGTCCAGTACTGCCTCTGGGTTTTCCAATGGTTCTCTAACTGATGTCAGTTAATCATAATGATGAAATCTTCCATCCCATATATATAGACGATTGTGTACAGCTATGAAAATGAAATCGTCGATAAGAAGAAATTGGACTTTGGTTTCAGTTAATTTCTTCTCACTTGTTGGCACGTCATTTATTTAGTCTATTGATGATGATGATGATGATGGCAGGGTATTGTTTTCATAAATCAATCACAATGGTTGCTACCTACCTACCTTTTGTGTTGACGATTACTCATAAAAAAAGCAACAACTAATCTTTAATAAATAAACAATAACAACAACAACAAAAACGACAAAAAGTCAACCATGAGAATCAACTTTAGTTAAAGAAGGCCGAAGAATGAGGTGTAGTTGATGACAATAAAAACAAAAAAAGAAAATGATTTCAATTCTTCTCACTTCTCTTCAACTTTGCTCTGACTATCTTTCGTTTTTGCTTTTTTAATTTTTGGCTTTTTCATCACACTGTCTGAATGTGTGTGTGTGTACGTGCCTCCGTCCGTCCGTGCGTGCATGTCAGTGCATATTTGTGTGTGTGTGTCCTACCTTCTGACGGGATAAGTAGAAAGTGCTGTTGCTGTTGTTGTTGTTGTTGGTGGTGGTGGTGGTGGTAGTGGTGGTGTTAATTATTGTCGTCTTCGTCCAACGGTCTTCTCAGTGTTCTGAGTTGTATTTGTTTCTTTTTAATTTTTCAAACATTTTGCTGCCTTCTGTTGTTCCGTTGTTCTTTACAATTTGCTTTTCTCACTTAATGACACGACTACAAACATAAAAAAGAAGGATGGTTATTACTCTTATCATTATTATTATTAGTAGTAGTATTGTCGTTTTAATCGTCAACAGGTTTCAGCGTGAATTTGTTCTATCACATCTATTAGAAGTGTGGCTAAAGTTAGTGTTACCTGTCCTATGATTGTCATTTAAATGATGTTTGCGAGTAACGATACTATAACACTACCACTACCGCTATAACAGTAGAAGGCATGAGACACGGAAGCTAAGGTATATTTTCTTCAAGTCAACAAAACCGCTATTGAAATCTTTTTGCAGTTCATATTCGATAGTTGTAGGCAGTTGGCCAAAGGAAGCCTCACCTGATCTAGGTTTCGGGGTAGTTGGCACTCACCAGTCAGCAAGGCGGAGTATCTGCAACTGCCTTGAAGGAATTCATTTCCCTTCTACAGGAGATTCGAACATGCGTCACCCAGTGCCACCTGCAGTCAGAGATGTTACCACTAAGCCAGCTATTCGGGCTCGCTACCTAGAGAGTAGTGGGACTTATTGAGAATCTGACTGATAGAATTCACTCTGCACCAAATAAGGGATTAGACACGTCACACTAGTTACTAGTGTGATATTATGTATATATATTATTTTTTGTTTTATGTCAACCAATCACTGAGTGTGTGATTTTGGTTTACTACATTAAACGACATGACATAGAGTGTTCAAATACATATAGAGTATTCTGTTACTAATGCAGTATTGTCCTGTGGGAATGTGTGGGAATAATATTCCGTTGGAACACATTGTCTGTATCATACCGCCACACTTGTTCCACCGCCCCAACCCTCATCAAATACCTTAAATTGATGGTAGTTCGATCTTCTTGGTTCTAGCGCACCCAGTTCCGGAGCTCACTGACGTTTACCTGTTTCTTTTTGTTGGCATTTCTGATGGTATACACGTGACCCCATCTCATGGTAACCGTGTGTGATCCTTTCCACTTTGGAAGCAGTTTGCGTGACTTTGGCGCATATTCACCGGTGTTTCGCCTCACACTATCATATACTGCCTTCGCCCGATCTCTCAGAAGCGTTTCAAGTAACAGCCTCATCGCTAACGGATCTTGAACGCCATTCAACTCTGATACAGCCTCGAAGTTCTGCCAGGAAATCCCTGTCTCATTCTTTAAAAACTGTAGGGCTTAAGCTTTTCATTTGTTGGCAGGCATCGACATCAAATGTGAAAGGGGAAGGTAAGACACGGAAGC